GGGGGGGGGGGGGGGGGGTTAGGCTCAAGGACTGGGAGAGACACCCAATTCAAAGTGAGTCTCCAAAAGTCTCTGGGAACACCAGAAAAAAAAAGGTTGCTAGACTTGTCGCTGGTGGGGTCTGAAAATGTGTGACATGTAAGTTGGCAACACTGCTGAAGCAGGAGGACACACACACGGAGTGATGGGGGGAGGGGGCAGGCACAGCAAACGTGGCGGTGATGACACCTGTGCACCTCAAAGCATGCCGCATGGTGCTTACTCACCTGTTCGGGGGTTTGGAGGGAAATAACTGCGCACCTCAACTTGAGGCTTTTAGTGTTTTCTGCTTGGATGCATGTCTGTGTGTACGTGTGTGTGTATGTGTGTGTATGTGTGTGTGTGTGTGTGTGTGTGGGATCTGCGTGCTGCTGAGGTCATCTACTCTTGCCGGCAGGCTCCATCACTTACAGTAGTGATGGCGTTCAGAGCCGTGTCGGCGCCAATGCTGAGGTCTGTGCCAGGCACATTGTTGGAGACAGTGGCTGGAACCATGACCATGGGCACACAGAACTCGTCATATTTCCCACGAGCCGTTAACAATTCCAGCAGTGACAGGAAGGCCTGCAGGGCAGAGCCAAGGGCTTTAGTAGCGTCTGCAAGGGTGGAAGCTTTGGCAGGTTTGGCTTGGTCGTGAGGTGCTACTTGCCACAAGAAGGGGGGGGAAAGGCATAAGTGGAGAATGCCAAGGGGAGGAGCCGGGTCTATCACAACGGACAGCAGCGAAACAGACAGGTACCACTCCACATTCACCCCCATAATACACATCCATATACACGGAGGATAACAAATTGACTTGCATACGTCACAGGAAGATTAAAGCTTGGTGAGCGTCTAAATAGGGCTGCGTGAAATGGCTGGAAAAAGCAGGTGGTCTCTGTTTTCAATGAAAAATAATCACATTATCTAGGATTGATACTGTTCATGTTCATTTAAATTATACAAAGCGCGTTTTCAGAAAAGTTGGCGTGTCAACTACTCTTTTAATATTATGGATTCTTAATGCTAAACTACTTGCTCTGCAGCCTTAAACAGAAATATATATCTTTTTGCTCTCTTATTGATGATTCTTTGGCTGAGTCTGGAAAAAAGTAGTGCACAACCACCCAATCTTTCTTGGAAAGACTAAATCTTTGGTGGTTCCATTTATACTTATACCCTTACACGACATCCTTTAACTTCTTAACTGCGGAATCTTCCAGATAAACTCAGGTTGTTAGTATTCAGTTATACTTGTCTTAAATTCTCATCTTTATATTTTCTAACTACAATGTACATGGTCAGTGAAGATGCTTTTAGGGGTATTTCTCACATAAAAGAGTAATCATGTTTTGTTGGATTTAAAAAAAACCTTTAAGAAAACACAACCTTTCCGAAAATGCAGTTTGTATACTCAAACTCTGAAGTAAACTGACATGTTACATTTAAGCTTCTCTCTATTTTTCCTGTTTCAGGCAGATAAATCACTGAGCATGAAATGAGATAGGACTGAATGAGAACAATAGCATTTAACCAATAACTGTACTATACAGCTAATGTCTATCTGGTGTCATGTACAAAATATAACAGCTGCCTGAATGATAATAGTCTGTTCAGTCATTAATATTAAACATTAAATAGCTCATAAGCTTGAAGACAAAATCAAAGTTGAAGCTTAAACACTCACAACACATAAAGCATTCAAACATACCTCAAATCCACCAATAACCAGAAGTGCATTTATATTGTGCTTTCGCATCTGCTCAGCAATTTTGTCAACATGCTTTGCAGGAAGCGTTCTGGGGAGCAGAAATAAAAAAAAAAACTGTATTGTATTTGCATACTCCAACAGACGTGGATTTTTTGGGATAAACTAAAGCAACATTAATAAGCTCAATTGACTCCACTTTTACCTTTTAGTTCCCAACAGGGAGCCACCCTGTCCTGTCCATCCTCCAACGTCCCCCCATTTGATTTCTTTTATCTGGAAGGATGACAAAGGCACTCGTGTCAAAACAGAGCTCTAATAAAAACTCCTCAGGTTGTTGCTTCGATCACCTTCACATTTATTTTTGTTAGACATCATGGTTTGGTGTTTTATGTAAGCATTAAAGGAAATCCAGTTGAATAATAATAATACTTAGTTGAAACCAACAGGTTGGTGTCATTTAAACTGAAGCCCATTTGGAATGACCCCCTTAGGGTCAATCGTTACAACTGGTCAGAGCTCCCTTACCAGTGACACTGGTTTAAAAAACGTTATAATGTAACCTATGCGTGTGGACTGAGGTGCTTTTAGGGTTCTGACTGAAAGAAACACAAAAGAGGAAAGAATGTGAAACTGGTTCAACCTGTAATGGAACAAAGAGGGGTCTTACACACTGAAGTTTTTTTGTTTTTTTTTTACTTCGGGGCCTTTATCTCTCTTTAAAAATGTTATCTCCCTCGGTTCCAGTGACGAGCTGAGGAGAGATTAATTCACAATCATTCCAGAGTTTTGCTTTTCTGTCTATTACGTCCATATTCAGTAAGGCTCTGTTGCCATCTATTGGCTGGCTGTGGTACTGCATTTACTCGTGGCGAGTCAGTGGGAATTGGTTTACATTAATCTGGGAGATTATCCCTCTGGGTTTTTCTGATTATTCTTTAGTGAGGGAGCAAACGGTGATTGTGCACTATCTGACTCATTGAGCTAAGCCAATTCTCTCAGAGTTATTAATGAGAAAATATGTAAGGCGTGCCTTGGAAGTTTTCATTATGCTTCTCGTGTCAGATTTAAATGGCTGTGAGGACTTGGCTCACCTGTCCTTTGTAGAATCCTTCAAAGCCGTCGTTGACGGCGAACATTTTGTGCCCCTCGGAGATGCCCACCCTGACGGCTGAGCGGACAGCTGCGTTCATGCCCGCGGCGGGGGCGCCGACATTCAGCACCGCCACGTTGAAGTTGCTCTGGGGGTTAAAAGAGCACAGCGAAAGGTTGCGCGTGCGGGGCGTAGCTTCAGACGTGACAGTTTAATCTTTCTAATTGCGGTTTAACTAATCTCGCTAAATGAGCGACACGCTGCGCGTCGCAGGACGGTGGTTCTGGCCCTACAGAAGGACATGCTACGTGGCTTCTGGCGTTCCCTCGGCTACATGCTGTGCCCACAGAGGTCGTCATTACACCCTCCTGTGGGGGGCATCTGGCCACGGCTGGACAAGTCATCTCCCAGCAGGGGAGTCAGGTGTCATCGGGTATGACTAATGAACTGAATCCGCTAAACTGCCTGCTCTCCGAGCCCCCCCCCCCAGTGCGGGGCCGGGTGTGGGTGGAGCTAATTTTTGTGCGCTGGACTTACCGTCGGCAGTTCGGATTCTGGTTTGCGATGTGCCAGCAGTTTGTACGTCCTCAGGTTGTTTTCGAAGCTCCTGCAAATCAACAGACAATTTTTTTAGCTCTGCTGTTTCAATGAGCTCGTGCTACAAAGCTGGTGGATGCGTTGGGTGACAACGACCCCGCTTTGCTCCTCGTGTTTATTAGTTAATTAGGACGCTGTCGGCCGCTGAGACAGCTGTCGGCGCCGATAAACGTCAAACCAGCTGTCTGCTGCTCAAGGGAAGGGGCGGCTTTGCCACATCAAGCTGGTCTATCAATCTCACCTGCCCCGAAGCTTCACCGCCTCCTCGAACCGCTTGTGATCCATGGCCTTCTGGACTTCTTGCGTCTAAGAAAAAAAGAGAGTCGATTTTTTCAAATGTTTTTATTCATGCACCCTGCAAATTCATACAAAAAAAAAAAAGTCACACGTTCGGAGGGTCTGATTTAAGTGGACAGAACCCATGCCTAATGGAAAAATGTAGTAACAGACAAATAAAACATGTTCTCTGTTCAGCCAAGAAAAAAGCATTCTCAGGTATCCTCTGTTCTGACCTTTAGTGGAGCATTAGTGACATTACCCCCCCTCCCCTCCCCTCCCCTCCCCGAGGTCTATCAAACTCCAAACATGACAGGCAACAAAGCTCTTTTGTGTGTTACTGGGGAGATGCCATGCTCTTACATCATCATGCTGGCAGACATCGGCAGCCCTTCCAGAAGTCTCAGTCGATCGTTAACCGACTGCCTCTGAAACAATGCCACTTTCTTTTGAACATTAGTGCCACTCTGAGCCCAGGCGGCTATCCCCACTCACTCCAAAGCTTGTGTACCTCTGTGATGAGTGTGTGCGTGCACGTGTCCTCAAAGCGCAGAGTTTTTTTTGGACCGCTGCCAGCGCGGCACTTGCACTCACCATCTGTACGCACTCCATCAGAGGCAGGCGCACCGACTGGTTGCCGCACAGCGAGACCACACAGGCCGGCGTGTTGGCTGTGGTCTCCAGAAGGGCCAGAACAGCCTCCACGCCCATGCGGCTAGCCTGCGTGGGCAAACACACGCGGTTAGAAGTGCTTTGTCACTTTCTTCGGACTTGGTTTGAAGTGACCGTGTAGCTGAGGGCCAATCTGTGCATCCGTTCACGTGATGATCCATTAATCTGGTAATGTGCTTAACCTAAAACCTGCGGCAGGCTCTCCTCATACACAAAACACACACGACCACAGAGAGGTTCTGGGGAATAACTTCTATTCCAAACAAAGGTAACAATGTGCAACTACTTACATCTAGAATTTATGCAGTGAAAGCACACCTAATAAAAAGGTCAATATATCTAACAAATGAAATTATTTATATTTTTTAAATTCTATCATGAAACACCAAAAACCTAATTTTAGATGGGATAGTGGACATATGAACTTCATAAACCTACCAAGATGCGGTCAAAGGCTGATGGGGTCCCTCCTCTCTGCACGTGCCCCAAGATTGTAACTCGTGTGTCGAAACCCAGGCATTTGACAACAAGCTATAAAAGAGAGGATTTAGCTTTTTTCTTTTTTGAACACTCGTGATTGTTTCTCGTTAATATCAAATGGTGCAAACGCCAGTCATGCTTTTCCTCTCAGAACACAATTTGATAGAAAATGCCCAAATAACACACAGGAAAATAAACACACCAGCACGCCACGCACGCGATATATAAAAGCTGAAGAGAAGGGGAAGCAGCAAAGCACAAGCAAGCCGTTCTAATTTTTCAGTCATGTTAGCGGGGAGCTTGTAACCCACAGAGCGTCCCAGCCAGGAGGAGCTAAACCAAATAAACATCTCCCGGCACAAACAAACAAATAAATAAAATGCCAAATGAATTACAACCAGTTAGTTGGGGGGTTCTGACAGAGCTTCGTAGCACCTCTGAGGAAATTTAGAGTGTTGAAAATTGCTGGAACACAAAGTCAAGCTAAGATTTGGTTTGATCTTGCTGTGAGGTTTAGAGAGGATGTCTTACAGCATGTTAGAGTAGAGTTCGGTGAAAGCTGCCTTACCAAACTAGAGAAGTGTGCCGGATAGAGCATTCCAGAAACACGGCAACAGAGTCAAAGCCACGTCGGGGCAGCAGGTGCAGTGGTAGAGTCATATGGGAGGCTTGCCACACAGAGCTCTGTACTTACATTCTTTACATAGTCAGTGGTAATGGCTTTGTTGTTACGATCAATCGCCCCCTCGGCTACAATTATGATATTCAGCCTTTTCATCCCCGCACGGTTCTGGCGTGGAGGAGAAACAACATGACAGAAAAACTGAGAGGGTGGCTGCGACGTGGGCTTTCAGAAGCACGGGGCCAGATGATGACGAGCCCTGGACGGGCTCCCCTCAAACGCTCGGCATCTCATCGTCAAAGAGGGAGCTAAATTGAAAAGTAGGAAATGAGCCGGGCCCGTGAGGCTGTTGTCCATCAGGCGGCTCTCCGTGCTTCTGGCTTCCCCTTTCTTTACACTAAGATACTCACATCTTTGACAAAACTAGAGGTTATTGGTTTCCCATGCCTGTCAATGGCTCCCTCTGCAACTATGATTATGTTCAGCCTTGTGCCCCTGGAACGGGTCTGAACCATAGAACGTTGTCATGGGTTCAAAGCAGAGAGAAGCAAAGTGAAACATCGCAATACTGAATTTCCTTACTGTAGAAGAGGATTTTTAAAAAAGCTTTACACATCCTGGATATTTGGTACTGTGTGTGTTTCGTTGGCTTTAAGGTGAGGAAGCGAGTCTGGACTGAGTTACCGCTGACAGTTTCTGACACATCTTGTCCTCCCATCCGTCCTCTGGAGGCATTTCGGGGATCAAAACCCAATCTGCTCCGCAAGCCAGCGCGCTCACCAAGGCCAGGTAGCTGCGATAAAACACAGACAATACACTCTGATTATACAGGGATGTGATAACACATTGTATCTCTGCCCGGTGGGAGAAAAAAATGGGATTTTTGGATCTGCTGGAAAGTTTCTGAGGTCTTACCCACAGTGTCTGCCCATGACTTCCAGCACAAACGTCCTCTGGTGGCTGTGAGATAAGAAAGTTAAAGCTAACTCAGTGAAGGACTAAAAGGTTTTGGCAACAGAGTTTTAAGTGCGGCCAAATCCTCCCTCTCACCTCTGTGCCGTGGTCATGATGGCGTCCACCACCTCGATGATTCTGTGTAAGGCGGAGTCGGTGCCGATGGTCATGTCGGTTCCGCAGAAGTCGTTGTCGATGGAGCCCACCATCCCCACGATGTGAAGGGCCGAGTACTTCTGGACCGCATCGGCCTCGATCAGTCCTGAAATGTGTCAGAGATTCGGGGTTGAATAAGCGTGTTTCCCACCCACCGGGAAAGCTTCCAGCTTGTTGCCATAACATTACAGAACGGGAAACAATGGAGGCTGCTGAGTTCAGGCACAAATCTAAACAGCTTTTCACTGCATGGGATGTTTCTGGGTTTACTTGAGGTCGTTCCCACTGTGCAGATTTTAGAGATAAGTACATAAAAGCTGCTCTTACACACTGTGAATGTGTGTTTGATGCTGTTAAGGGTCAGATTTCTCTCCTGTGAATTGCAGAAAAAGAGTTGCATCCCCCCCTTTACCCTACCTTGCTCGACGAGCTCCGCCAGCAGGCCGCTCCACTCCTCCCTGAAGAGGTTGGCTCCGGTAAGGCTGCCGTCTCCACCAATCACGCACAGGTTGGTGATGCCACGCTGCACCAGGTTGTGAGCGGCCTTCAGCCGCCCCTCGTGGGAGCGGAACTCCTTGCAGCGGGCGCTGCCGATCACGGTCCCACCCTGATTTCAACCCAGAAGAATACTACTTTTAATTTTTTTATTATGATAGCTGAGTTTTACATTAATAAAATGAAGCATCCTGCTGAACACGTGTTAGCAAGGGATCAAAAAAGCAGCTTTTTCTTTAGTCTCACATGACATTTGCTGCATTCTGACTACTCATTGTTCACATTTTAAACTTTAAAAATCTAAAAATACAACTAAAACTAAGTTATTATCATCAGAGATGTGGGATGCTGCCTATTACTCACCACTTGTAGCATGCTGGACACACTTTCCCATGTGGCCTCCTTTATGTTCTCCCCACCATCCACCATACCCTGGTACCCCTGATCATGAAGAGAATGAACAAATTTCTTAGTCAATAAGAATTTAGAGAAGGAAACAAACCCTCAACCCATCTTGAACCCATTTCAAAAGGTAATATGTAGGAATTTGTTCCATACCATCTACACATAACTGTTTATAATAGCTTAACCAATGTGCCTTTGAAAGAAATGAAAGTCAAAATATTCCAGCTGTTTATTTCTCTGAAATTAAGCAGAATTTTATGTAACCGAAGTCTGTTGCACCGATAAATTAAAAAGATTAATATCAAATTAGTGTTAATGTGTTTTTAAGCATGATTAGTTGAAGGTTACTCAAACATTTTATACTTCATGCTCTATTTAACAGTTGGTTTGAGGTGGGAGGACAACAGGTGTGACTATTCACTGCCACTAAAAATGTTGAAATTGGTTTCACATTTTAGATGTACCACTTTGTGGTTCTCCATCTGCTTGTGTGCCACTGACCTCAGTCATTGTGAAATTAGTTTTTCGGGCAGAAACAAGGTATGGTTTTCAATAAATTAGGTCAATTCCTAGGTTTGCTGGAAATAGGTTTACTTAAAAGGTCAAACATAAAAAAATGATGATCATTTACGTCAAAACACACTGTGTCAATTTTACATGAAAGGATGGGCAGGAATGAACAAAATCTAAGTTTGGTGGAGCTCAGTGTACTGAAAAAAACAAGACAAGTACCAAAAAATGCTAAACTACAGAGCAGTAACAATCCTTTTGAACAGTTTAGAATTTGATCTTTCTTATTCTGTGCAAGTGAGCAACCCGGGTGTGGGGTGGAGGTTTTTATGAGGCATCTGCTAAAACCTCATTTCACTTATGTAAGAGGACATAAAAACATTCACAGATGTACTGGGATCCCGGTGTGAGCAAACAGAGGCGCAGCGCTCAGTTCCTAGAGCGGCTCCAGCATCTGCTGCATGAATATAAACAGTCTCGCACTGATCCACGGAGGCTGTGATGCTCCAACCAAGTCGTATGTATCAAAACATTCAACAGAGATGAGATGGGTTCCCTTTTGCATATTAAAGTTGAACTCGGTCCTCTAATAGGATCAACAACACCTACTAACGTGGTATGGGTCGCACGGGGCTGTGATCAGCCGTCACCTCGTAGCAAGAAGGTGGAAGAATGTTTTCTCTCTCTGTGTGTTCTGTTCCCCCGTGCTCATGCATGCAAGGTAAATTAGTGATTCTAAGCTGGATTTGAGCTTGAGCATGCACGGCTGTCTGACTAAAGGTCCAGGTCCAGCTGGGCCTAAACCCGGGGACCCTCTGCACAAAGCACAAAAAATTGAATGTCCAGGCTCACCTCTCGTATAAAATAAACCTTTGCTCCCACATACAGCCCCATCCGGACCACAGCGCGTACAGCGGCATTCATTCCTGGGGAAAAAGAAGAAAAAAAAAGAATTAAAATAATAAAGAAGCTTTTGTGTTACAGCACACAGATGTGCAGGCTAAGGTAATGTGAAAGCATGTGTGTTTGGGTGTTTAATCTCAGGCTTTCTGTCTGTCCACTGCCTTTTTTTTCTTTAGTCGTTTACAACAGAACGCAGCCATATTTGGTCAACAGATTGCCCAGCTCCTCTGATGGCCGCTCGGCTTTCAAAGCGAACTCATTAACTAAGACTCTGCAACGTGACTTGAAAGTGGGCGACCGGTTGGCTTGAACATCGACGGAGCAGATAAAAGACAATGCTTCACCCACTGTAGGCCAACAGGAAATTGGCAGCCTGGACGAACTCAACACTGACCGCTTTCTCAGAGACCGAGAGCGCAGTTTGCAGCGTTGTTACTGAGCAACCAAAACCTTTTGGCCGTCAGAGACAGTGCTGTGCTGTGCTCCCTTTCATTAGATGGAGAAAAAGAACCAACAGTACTGACCAGTGTAGAAAGGGAGGACTTATTGTCGTGTTACATAACTATGCCGAAATGAACAACCAGCTTTAATCACTGAATCAGAGCATGAAAGGTTACCTTCGTTTTGCTTGTCAAAGTTTCTAAAGAGGGTCGGTTCCCTCATTCTGCATGACTTGACACTCTCTCCGGCTAAGGCCACATAATACCCTCTGACACCGGCCTCACTGCTTCACTTCTCAGTGACTTATTCCTGTGTTGTGTGTGTTTTCTTTGCTACCATGTTCACGTTGGACTACACAGACAAGTTTGAGTGTTATGGTTGAATTCATTTGTGTCACAGTCCTTCATATTTTGCTGTTTGCATCAGGCTATCCATCAATCAGAAGCTGAAATCGTGGTGGTCAAACCGCCAGTATCTCTAAACCATAAATGAAACATGGTGAGTTACAAAGGGCCTAAACTCGCATCGTAAAGATAAAGGAATTGGATATCCGTTCTTCAATAGTTCAACAACAATAAACTATGAAGATGCTAAAAAATGTTCCTGAAAAAAAAACATACATGCCCATATTATCACGAAAAGCAGCTGTTTAAAATCTGACCATGTAAATGTATCAAGTTGCATGAAACTGTGTCTTGAGAAACATGTGCTCCTTTTGTAATGACTTAAATAAGTAATTTACATAATACAAAGAAATTCACCGCCTGAGTTAAGATGTACTTAGAAATGGACTTGATAGAGCAGAGGCAGAATTTCGAGAGAAAAAAAAACAAATGCCCTAGCTCTCACTATTCATATTTTGAGTTTTTCTTTTTTGAACTTGTTGCTCTTTTTTTAAATTATTTTTGTCCCTCTCACATGCTGTACCAGTTTTTATTTTTTTTCTCATTTAGTCCAAAACACACAGTCCACTATTATGTTTGGCTTATTTTGTTATCTAAAAAATTTTTTATGTGGCACTAAAAAGGTCTGAAGTACTAAAAAGAAAACGACAATAGTCAAATTGTTCAGTTTGTTATAAGAAAAAAAAAGGACGAAGAAGAAAAGTAAATCCGGGTATTTGGACGCTGTTAGTTCCCATGAACGTGAAGCCGTCTCCGGCGGTACTTGATGTACGTTGGTCAGGAGCACATGACCAGGGTTTTCCTCTCTGACGTATCACCGACTAGATGAGACGTTGCAGCAAACTCGGTGCCGCTCATCACGTACACAGGATGCAGGCATCCCACTGCAGGTCCTTTTTTAAGCTATCTAACCCTAACGTCTCATAATTTTCTATCAAAACCAGACGTTTAGAGGTTTTGGCCCTTCCTCAGTGGTAAATACTTTAAGGTGTATAATTTACTGTTGCCCCTTCCACTTCGTGCCAATGACCTCATCATTAAAATGAACCGGACAGTGACAGAATTTACTGCTAACCTAAATTTGTAATAAGTTACCATGAAACGGATTCGTGCAAACAGGAAAAACCGGCATGTTTTGACCTTGACATTGCTGAACTGGTGTCACAATAGTGCTTACGAGTAAATTATGGTTAGCGAGTTAGCAAGAAGTGTCATGTTAGCCTGCTAGCGAACTTCCTTAACGACTTGAACGCAATGTACAGTTAAATTGCTGTACTGTACTTGTCCATTCTGCCCTGAGCTGACACGTTGAGCGAAATTAAGGCCTCCCGGCTTTTCAGCATCACACTGGTGAAAACGTGTATTTTCGCCCTCTACGGGCCTGTTCATACTCACACTGTGATACATCTATGAAATTCTATCTGTGAACGTGGGTTTACCTTGAGCATCCCCTCCGCTTGTCAGTACAGCGATGGCTTTCCCGGATCCCGACAGGTTCTCAAAGAATATTTTCTTACTGTCTGGCTGCGCCATTTTAACTGTATTTATTTCAGACCAATTCGAATAAGAAAATATTCCGAAGGGGGGGCCGCAATATTGTAACTTTGTACCGAAATGATGAAGGGCAACAGTCCTCGGCCCCCTCTGCCTATGATATGCCCGCTGTGCTCTCCTCCCTCTTCCGCAGATATTCGCTGATTTGCATCAACTGAGCGTAGGCAGATACTGGCAGAACATTGGGCCAATCAAATATTTCCAAGGTGGCCTCAGCCGGGGGTTGAACCAATCATAAGAAAGATGATTCTTTGGTAGGCGGGTTTACCGGTAAGGAAGAAATGTGCGTCGTTCATGCTAAGTTGTTGAGGAAAAGTCGTTTTTTTACCCTCTAATTGAAGCGTCGCTTTGATATGATGAAGGCATCTGAATGGCGAACATAACTCACTTTCTCAAGCTTGACGGTTACTTTGTGTCATTATGATATAGAATCGCTAGGAATGACAATAAGTAGTGGCAGTGACACCAAGTAAATACGCCATTGTTATAATCATTATCGTTTTTATGCACACGGTGCATAAAAGTGTGCAACAATGCGCGACAAAACTTGAAAGCCATTTGCAGGCATTTAAAGAAACACAATTCATCAAGATATGCGTCTATTAAATATATTTTCGTCAGTCGTCAGCTTCCCAATTGTTAAAATTTTTCGAACTGCCCTTTTATAGTTGTTTTGTGACGGTGGGTTTATTGTGCTTTTTGTACCAATTAGAGTATGCACCTGTTCGTACACCCTATAATGGAGACTAGTGACCCTGTTTGTGTCTTTTAATGTTTTAATTGAAGCTTTGCTTTAGTGTTGCATCTCTTTATGATTATATTTGATCTTATTCTTGTTTTTAATGTTTAACAGTGTTAAATCTATTGATATTTATTTTATTTGATTTTTTTCTTCTCTGATATCTTTGTACGATAGGGGTACTTTTTGGGTACTTTTTTTTATAATAATTATTTTTCCAATAATACTTCAAAACCTCTTTTCCACAGATCAACAGGCTACTCATTTTTATACATTTCATACATTTAAGTTGCCGAGTCTTTCTCTCCCCCCCCTTTTCATCCCATACTGCACTGAACTGAGTTTCATTAAAAAATCTTTTCTGATATGAATTTTTGACAGTTGTTGATTCTGAATATATGCTTTTCAAATTGTTCAAATTGCCAGAAGCTACCATTGAACTCTGTTGCTACCTGAGCACATCTGTCACACTCTTTTCTCTTACCTTTCAGATGTTTGCATCACCTCCAAGACAGAATGAGTTGAAAATCCAAATAACACATAAAAGAGGACATGGGTTTTGGCTGAATGTCACCATCATGTGGACGTTTGATGAACCTACAAGTTTCAGCAAAAAAATAAATAAATAAAAAATCAAAATTTTGCTACATCTACAAATGGTAAGATATATTTTCAACAACTGTTTTAATGTGTCCTTATTTTTTGGTGAAATCCAGTCAAACTGTTTTGTTAAGAGTCACAAAGCAATTCTACAATTTGTTCTGTTCCGGAATAGACATTTAGATATGGTCAAATAGTACAACCCATATAACATTATCAGTATTATTGTTTAAAAAAATAAATGAGTGAAGACAAGATTGAACAAAAAAAAAGAAATATTAGATGCATGACTAAATGGGCATTCAAATTTAAGTTTAAAGCTTCTGTCCTTGTCTGCTGTATAAATTGCTTATACAGCAGTTGAAGTTATAATTTCCAGAACAACAGATTGAAGTGTACTTGAGACTATCAGTCTTTTAATATATCTAGAATTAGTACTGTACACACAGAACTGTTGGTACTTCATAGTCTGACATGCAGGAACATCATCACAGACATATCAGATACTGGATTCAATCAACATTTGTTCATGTAACATGCATGCACATGTCACATGGCAGACAAGATAAAGAATGATGAAACACATGTAATGAAAACAATAAAACACATCAAGCACCCTTTCAAAGTCATCAAATGTTACGTTTTAAGTAGAAAAATGCATTTCAGTTTTCCCAATTTAGAAAATAGACTAAAATCAGTAATAAATTCAAATAACTGATGTAAAAAAAACACTGAGTTAAACAGTTACTAAAATTACTTTGATTTGAACCCAGTGGACTTTAATTGTAACAAAACTTAAGCAAACTTAATTTCTGGATAAGAACTTTCAAATGTCAGAAGATTCAGAGAAGTGTTAAATTCCAGTTGTGTATCAATAGAATACATCGATCTCGGGGGGGAGGGGGGATTTTTGGTGGTAATATGATGATTTTGTCAATAGCTAGTCTACGCTACCAAAAAGAAAAAAAAAAATGTTTAAAAAAAAAAACCCATATAACCCCACAAATCACAAGTTTTCACTCTTATTTCTGTTTTTCGATCTTCTGCCACTCAGAGCTCGAATTGCTTCCCTTACATGAGCACGTCTACCCCCTCGGGTGCTTTCAGTGATCACACACTCTCATTCGACAAGGCTGCTGCCAAGATGGCTTTAGTGGAGTTTTCTGAAATCTACGCTGCCAGCTGGAGACTTGACGCAGGGCCCCTTCATTTGTCTCTTATCTGTGCTTATCTTTTTTACGGTTCACATGGAAAGCTGTCAGAGAATGCCATCAGTCACAGGATAGCATTTGAAAGTGAAAAGGTTTAATCCCCGTGACAAATTAGACAAGTTAAATACGCAGCAAACGTATGAGTTTTATCTATGAAACTGCAACAGATTGTATACAGGATTGCAAAATTACAGCCTGCAAAATTAAGGTTTTAAGTGGCAGGTAAGTTTTCAAGCTTCCAATTAAACTAATGACAAGAAGGGATTGAAACAAGACAGTATGATCCATCTCGTTGTTGCCTCTGCTCTGTTCTATTCAGTTCATCTTAGAAGTGTGTAATGGGAATTGTGGGGCACCATTAGATAAACTCAAATAATAGAAATTTAATATGGTCAGGTTTGGATCATTAGTTTGATGGCTTCAACCGTCTCTCTCCGCGTCTCCATGCCTGTAATTATAAACTATATTCGAACTGAGCAAAAATGAATTGTTTAACATTGGAGTTTTATTATTGTTGCTTAGCAGCCATTTGATTAATTATATCCAAAGCGTTTATCTTCCTTTGCATTTTCTGAACAGCAAAATCTGGCACTCTATGCACACCAGTCGCTGTCCCACAGAGAGTTGTCCAACATTTCTGTAATGTGCAGTTCTTTCTCGGATTTAGATTCACTACGGTGTAAGCCGATTGTTATCTAAGATGAACGAATGTGCATTTGGCTTAGTTATATCACAGTGGACAACTTTCAGAGGGGGCACATTTTATCGTCAGTGAACCTAGTTTTCCACGAAATACTTATTTTTATTGTTGTTTTGGGGTCAGTTGGGTGACATCTTATACTGCACCGGTAATATAAATTTCAAGATATTTAAGCTGGGCTTCACAGGCCTTCATTGCACGCGTGGCAATAACATATTTATTTGAACAAAGATAAGTTTATCAGTAGCAAACAATTCTATGACCCCTGACACTGTTAATGTGCTAATAAGATATCAAACAGTGCTAACATCATGGCAATTAGCATGTATAATGTATAGCATTTAGGAATGTGTGTTTCCTGCCAACAACCAGGAATATTTACATATGTTTACACTTAAATTTGTTTCCATACACACTGATAGTTAGCTTGCAGACATCGATAGTTAGCATTAATGAACTGAAACTGAAGCAGAAGGGAATAAGGTTATCTAAACATGTAAATACAGGATGAATTTGACCTAATAAGTGGACATATCAAATTTATTCAGATTTAACATTGTATAAGATGGTTCTAAAGGAAAGAAAAGAGGATGATTAAAATCAGAAAGCTAAAGCTTAGTATATAACTGAACACTGAATATTGAATTGAAATTCATGACAAAGCTAGACAGACAATGTAAATGCGTCCGCTGGTCACAATTAAATACATTTGATGTTAACTTGAACAGCATAATGTTTGGACCATTCGTAGCTATGACACTGTTCATTTTGATGGCTTTCAATCGTCTTCATAAAATATTAAGATCCAGCAAAAATAGTTAATTTGCCCTTCATCTATTTGAAAATAGTTTAGACATACTAATAAGCCCCGGGCCGAATTGGAAATAAAAAGTGATACGCACGTTAATCACCACTATCAATATATCATATGTTTGAAACATTATGGTTATTACTATGATGGTTGCAGCAATATTTTGGTTGAAGACCAATTAAACTGTTTCGCAATGTTCAATCTGAATGAAATGCATTCTTACTCAAATCGCCGACACAGTTTGAAACTGATTGTAAACTATTATCTCCCTGCAGAGGTCACTCATGACCCCATCCAGTGTCCCAGCAGCCATCTGTCCATTAGGCAGAAGCTCAGTTTGTCAAATTACATTTACTGCTTGGTCATTTTACACCCCAAAACCCAGGTTCCTTATTGCATTGCTCATTACCACTTGTGTCCCAGGGGAAATCATGTGCCAATCCGAGCAGGTTTCCACAATATCGCCTCGCATTGATTGTTTGTTTATTGGCTGCAGGTTGTCATTTAGATTGGTTTCTTTTTGTTAGGATTAGGTTTTAGCAGATTTTGTGACCCAGAGGGACAGAGCACAATCATTAGCCATTCCCAGGAGGAAATGCTGCCACTAAAGTCGCACCGAATGGAGCAAGTTGTTGCAAAGCTTTATTTTCTTTTCCCTTTTCAACTGCAAGTATATACTGAAATATGTGCACCTTGTCACAGTTTCAGCTTTTTTCAGAATTAAAAATGCTATTGTATCGTGCTATTCTTAGGTGTATATTAAGAACCTCATCAATAGAGGAAAAATGTAGAATCATTTAAAAAATGTACAGGTTTATTTTAACTTTTGACACAATTTAGGAATTCTACAACCAAACGGCCCACTTGGATTTGGTGGTATTTATGTGAAAGTGTATAATCTCAAACTTACTTGCTTAA